GCAACTGCAGCAGCTCAGGCACAGAAGCTGCCCATTGGGGCCATCAATCACCATCCAGGGGACAGCAGAGGACACTCTGGAAATCCAGAGCATAGGGAGACTGCACCTCAGGCACTATCCTTAACCCCTAACCCCAGTGCTCCCAGAGAGAGCCTGCCACCATCAACCAAAGATGGGAACCCCAAGATACACTGAACCCTCCCTCGTCCAGCAGCTGAGGAGCCCAGTGTCCAGAAAGGGCGCGTCACATCCTCCAGACAAATTCAGGCTCAGTCTCTGTCTCCATGCCCTGCCTTCCCACCCTTCTCTCTGCCACCTCAGGAAGGCTTTGCTGATACACCCATAGCTCAGCCACTTCACCTGCTAATTCCATTCCATCCAGCTGTGATGGCTGTCAAATATCTTGAAATAGCCCCTTCTGATCAGTTAAAGCCACCTTGTAAGACCCACAGCTCTGCAGGAGCCCTGTCTCTAGCTCCCTATGTGTTGCACTTATAGTTGCTCAGCAAATGTTTTCAGGACTGCATGGGATGGGGTAGACGAAGGTTCCTGTCTCAGTGGGGTTTGGGGGTTTTCAGGGACCTCCAGTAGCTTCCATCTATTCATTTCAACAACGACTCCAAGCAAGTATATTACTAAGCCATGTGTCCAGCACTGAGATAACAGCAAAAAGACTTGGTCCCTGACCTCCACAGGCTCCGTGAACATGGATGGAGAAAAACTGACAGGGACACAATGAGCTGGTAGGGGAGAGTTAGGGTGAAGACTGCCCAGCTGGGCTCTCCATATTCTGAAGGGAATGGGGCCAGGGGAAGCGTGTGTCCATCTACCGGGATTGAGGGCCGAGGGTCCCTGGGGCTAGGAACCTCAGGGAATGCTGTCTGTTCATCTGCTGCCAGAGATGCTGACGAGGGCCTCCATCTGCTGCAGCTCCACCTTCCTAAGCTCCTGCGCCCAGGGGACCTTGGTCCTTTTTGGACTATGTTGCCAGAGCAGCAGCACATCCACCAGTAGGGTCCATAGGCAAATTCCCCAGCCCCGCCAGCCCCAGCATCGTGGACCTCTGTGGTTAAGTCTGCTGCTTCCTCAAGAGCCCTCTTGCTGTTTGTCAGCCACACTGCCAGAGCCCCCATCGTACCTGGGGCTGTGGGTACAGAAGCCCCAGCCCTGGGTGTGCCACAGTCCTGCCTTTTCCCAGCCAGTTCTGACCCCTACCTGGACTTCTTGGGGACAAAGTCCCCCATCCCTCAGGCCACAAAGAGGAAGAAGCTTTGGCAGAGACAAGACTGAAGAGGGTCCCAAGCCTTGCAGTGGCAAAGGTGACAAGGCTCTGACATCACCTTCCTCACATAATGCCCCTCCAATGCCCTAGTTTGACCTTCAAGAATTCTAGATGGGGTTGTTCTATGGTTTCCTGTTGCTCACCCAGTAATCACCAACCCTCTGTGCTCCGTATAAGCACACACAGGGAGGTAACCTTATTTCCCCAGAGTGGACATTTCAGGCAGGCATTTGGGCCCAGGAAGGGAAAAAAGTACGGGTCACCAGAGGGAACAGGCAGGGATCTCAGGGACCATCTTGCACCCACCCAAGGGAGAGCACCACCACACCCGGTGTATCCACCGAGTATGAGGCACCATGCAGGGTGCTGGGCTTACAAAGCCAACTGCACAGCCCTGACCCCAAGTGGCATCACCCATCTAAGGTGGCCAGGAACACCACTCCTAAACCATGTGTGGGAAGTCTGGGAGGGTCCAGCCAAGGCCAGCCAGCTAGAGAAACACGGACTGAAGACAGATCTTGTTGGGAAGCTCATGAATTGACTGTGTATGTAAGTCTAAAGTGTGTGACCCCTGCAGAGCAGCAGGTAGGCGTTGTCTCTGTCTTCATCATGTTTGTGTGCCCACAACAGGGGCTGTACTTGCAGCACATTCAATGCCTGTTCTTGTATAAATGAGGAACGTCTGCGTAGCCCACAGTGGGGCATGTGGGTTTCAAATCCTCTCTGTACCCTTTACTGATTGGCCCTGGACAAATCAGCATCTCTGAACTTCAGTTCCTCTGGTATAAAATGGAAATAGTAATGCCCCAATTTTCAAATGACACAGTGGGGTCATCAACACCACAATCTAATAGGTGTTGCATCTTACGATTACAATACCGCATCTGCCTCAGGCATGGGGAGAAGCACAAGACAGTGCGACAGTGCCTGGCAGAGTTGTGAGTGAGAGACAATCACTCTGGCCCGGGATGAGTAGGCAGTCACAAGGTGAAGAGCAGAGGAAGAGCGTCCTGCACAGCAACCACAGGGGCAAGGGTAGGGAGGTGGGAGGTGCACTGGGTGCTCAGCACTGCTCGAAGGCCAAGCGTAGCCTTGGAGGTGGGAGCAAGGAGTCGCACTTGGCACAGATGATACTAAAGACATTAAGTGTATTCATATTTGCACTTAGAAAGCCCACCTCACTGCCACATGAAGGCTGCTTAGAGACAATCGCAGCAGAAGCAGAGAAGGCCAAGCAAGGAGCTGCGACGGTGGACGTGGTAAGGAGGGGAAAGGCCACGGGGACGGGTGGCAGCCTTGTGACCTTGAAGGTGTTGAGGCCAGGAGACAGGTGATCTGGAAGGGAAGGGAAGAACTGACTTTGGCTGCAATGTGCTCGCCCAGCCTCGATGTCACGGGACACCAGAAGGGGCCCTGACGTGCCACAAGGCACTGACAAAGGTTGACGCAGCTTCATTTCCAATCCATTTCTAGCCACGGGACCCCGGGCAAGATATATAATCTTTCTGTAAAATGAGGGCAAACAGTACTACTAAGCGAGGGCCAGGGATTTGGCTCAGTGGTTCCACTGCCTGCCTCGAAAGCGCAAGGGCCCAAGTTCGATCCCCGCATCCGAAAATAATAAATAAATAAATAAATAAATATTACTAAACGATGAGCAGGATAATTAAATGACCGGAGGATTAAATCATCTGGAGGATGATGACTCCAGAAGGTAGGTGGTTCACTGTAGGTATTCAGGAATGTGGTTCTGATCCCTTTCCTCCTTCTCTGCTAATCAAAAGTCACCTTATCTCTCCATGCGTTAAATATTCAGGAGTCCTTGTTAACACACCCCCTGCCTTCATTCTAGCAACATCCTCTAGAATGTAAGCTCCAAGAGGACAGGAACCAAGTCTTGTGTCATCTGTCGCTGTGGTCCCAGCCCCATCACCGTGCCTGGCTCCCTAGTAGATGCTCACTTAATTTCACAGAAGTAACTAAGCACCTTCTTCTGCACAACCTTCGTGCCGAGAATATAATCAGAAACAAGAAAAAGTATGGTTGTTTTAGTAGAAGAGACAAAAACACATAAATCATTTTAGATAGAGATAATGCTATGTTTAAAATACAAAGGGTATGGGCTGGGGATGTGGCTCAGTGGTTCTGCTGCCTACCACCTTGCAAGCACAAGGGCCCACGTTCCATCTCTGGTACCACAAAAAACAAACAAACAAAGGGTAACATGTTAGAAAGTGACAGCCAGTGTGAGGGACGGTGACTGAGACTGAGTATTCCAGAGGAACAAGTAACACAGAAGCTCTGAAACAGGGACCGCAGTTCAAGATAATTAAGAAACCAAAGGTGCTTGTGTGGCTGGAGCACAGGGGCTGAGAGAAAGAGATCCACCCAAGATGAGACCGAAGAGGTGGAAACTGGATTTTCTTCTAGGTGGGATGGAGAGGCACTGGAAAGTCTTAAATAGTGAATGGCTCAACCTGATTCACTTCTGAAGGATCGCTCTGGCTACTGTTTGGAGAACAGACTGGGGACCACCCGAAGATGGAAGCAGGGAGCCCAAGGGTTAGGAAGTTACTGCAGTACCTGGATGACAGGCAGGTGGCTTGGACAAAAGCATGGTGGTGGAGATGTAATACAGTGGACACCTCTGAACCTCTGTGACCCCATCCCCCTTCCCTCGGCAGCAAGGGGCTCCTCTCTCCCTTGGCCATCCCTGATCACTAGGGAGCAGGCGTGTTTGCCAGTATCCTCTCAAGGATGGCAGCCAGGCTTGGTTCGCGTCCGTGTCCAGCCACACTCAGCACAGGGCTGGATGTGGCCAGGCTGAGGCTCCAAGGGCTGAAATCAATGAACCAGTGAAAGAATGAAGGAGTGGCATCTCCACTCTTCAGCTCTGTGTCTGAAAGGACAAGGATGTCAGTAACTGGAAGTGAAATGGACAGGAGAAAGAGAAAGCTCGGGCAGCTGGCAGATGGTTTCAGGAGACAATGAGGGAAAATTACAGAAGTTGTCAAGTCACGAGGAAGCAGGAAGAAGTATGGCACCAACTTACTGATCTCAATCTAGGTGTCCCAGTTCAGGCCGGGCCCTGGAGTCAGCCACCCCCCAAGGCATGGGCCCTCCCAGACAGAGGAAGTTTGGTAGGGGCATGGACACCGCTAGGCTCGTAACCTGGAAGGAAAGCACTCTCAGAAGAACAGGGAAATAACCGGGGGAGTGGGGGAAGTCTGGAAAAGACAATGGCAGGCGTTAAAATGGGCCAGATGTGAGCCAGTACCCACCCTACCCTCAGGGGATTGAGCTCTGAAACATCTGCGACAGCAGGAGTTAGGCTATGGCCAGGGCAGATGGGGGAAAACCTCAGCAGCACATCACAAACTAACTGTCCTTCCCCTGCCAGGCAACTCAGTCCAGCAAGATGTGAGCTGGCAGACAGGGCAGGGCCAGACTCCGAGGTAAGACAGCCTCTCTACCCTTCCCCCCTTTGCCCAGATTAGGGGTCCGGAGCAGCATTCTCATCCTTTTCCAGGCTTTGCCCCTCTCTCTACTCTCCTCACTGTGCCTATATGGGCCCTTTGCAAGCCTCCATGTCCCTTGAGACAGAATTCAAGTTGTTGGCCTGGCTACCCACGTTCACCTTATCTAGACTTAACATAGATCCCTGCTTCTCCTGCGCCCATTCAGCATTCCTGCCATATCAAGCTCACCCTGGTCTTGGACATACAGTGCCTCCTCCCTGGGAAGACCTGATCCTTTGTATCTCAGCATGGGAGAACCTTCTGGACTCAACACTGGTCCTCCTTCAGCAAGCCTTCCCAGAGCAGTCCAGGCTTTGGCTGGCCCTACGAGTGAGCACTCTCTACCTGCCTTGTCACTCGCTGACCACCAGCCCTGTGCCTGTGGACTCCTTGACCCAACAGCACCAGCTCAGGGCCAACTGTGTCCACTCAATTCCCTGCGGCCCAACTCAGGTGCTTCCCCATTGCCCTGTGCAGGCCACACAACACAGAGACATAGAAATGCAGTCGCCACCATCAAGGAGAGATGGCCAGCAAAGCAGACCCACCGAGACGCCTCACTCAGGGGAGACTGGGAGGAAAAAACTCACACTCTTTCAGGGCCCAGAAGAAGCTCAGAAAACCTCTTGGAGAAAGAGGGATCTGAGCTGGGCCTTCAAAGATTGGGTGCTACAGAAGTAGAAAGGGCATTATCAGCAGAGAGAAGCAAAGGAAGAAAAACCCCTGTATCCAGCAGTGCTGGGCGGAGTCCAAGCGGGGCAGGGAGGGGGCTGAAGTGAAGTGCTGGGGACACAAGCCTGTGTCCCTCCTGTGGATGATGGACACCAGGGGAGGTTTTGGAGCAGAGGTTTTGGTGACGTGGCTGCCACCTGTCTCTGGAAGATTAAGCCAGCCCTGCTTTCAATAGGCTCCAGCCCCAGCACCCCACAAACTAGGAAATGTTTCTTGACTTTGGTGGTCTTGGTCCCTGTCATACCTGCTGGCTGCCACATAAGGTGGGGGATCATGGTGGAAAATGAACCAGAGAAGGGAGCAAGATCCAGACTTGAGGTGGAGCAGGTCTGTGTTTTGGCGGGGACTGAAAGAAGGAGACGTGGTTGCCTCTGACCCATTCTGAGTGTTCCCTCACAGGGTGGCCGCGTGCCCCATTAGGCTGGGATACAGGGTATGTGGGTGTCGGGTCCTTTGGAGCCAGGTAGGCAGGTGGCTCTCAGGATGGCCGCTTTTCAGGGGTCATCAGTCGCTCCACCTCCCGCATGAACCGCAGACACAGCTCTTCCTGCCAGGGCAGAGCCACACACTGCACAGCCACAGGCAGCCCCACACCGTTCTTCAGGGCCTGCAGGAGACATGGACATCAGGACGGGTGTAGCAGACAACTCTGCTCAATATTAGCAGACTCTGGTTAACTGCAACCCAGTCTCAGCACCCTTTGATCTCCCAAGCAAGATAAGCAGTGCCTTCCCCCTTTACATCCTTGTTTGTACATCAGCTATCCCTGGCTGTATATCAGATGTGCGGGCTTACATATCTGCCATCACCACATGCTCCCAGCCAGATGCTTCTGGGCATCCCACGCTATGTCTTATGTCACTAGATGTTTTCAAAGCACACCCTGCTTATCTTCCTGCACTTGTAATCAATAAATACTTGGTGCCCTTGGTGCCCGATGTCTCTGCTGCCCAAAGCAGCATAGGTCAGACCCGAGACCTAGTTTTCCCTAAGTCTCATTTGTTTCTTTAGTCTTATCAGTTTGTGTTGTAGTTTCCCTGTAGAGGTCTTCAGTAACCTCCCCTTCCCACTGCCCAGGGCCCAGGAAGGGAGTGCCTCACCGGAGGAGAGCAGCAATCAGGGCCAGGTGCAGTATTGATTTGAGGACTGGCGAGGGCACCAAGTGCTGAGGACACCAGCCGGGGGATGGGTGGGGAGGAAGTGAGCTGGGGGACGGGCAGGCCTTACCTTCTGTAGCACCTTGTCCCAGATATCCCCAAAGTAGCCCCGGTAATGTTCCATCTGGGCCTCGTCCTCAGCGGTCACCGTGGTGACGGGCACCACTCCCGCAGGGAAATTCAGGCAGTTGTACAGGACAGTGTAGCTGATGGCCCCTGGAACACATCACAAAGGTGCAGCAGCCTCGAGGCCCGCAGGGCTGAGTGTCCACGCCGGGCCTCAGTCACCTGCCCTGTGAAATGGCACCCTGCTTCCCCAGCAGGGAAAGACCCTCTCCCGGGCTGAAGTTGGAGCGACAAATCCCACGAACCCAGCAAGATCCCCTGATACTTCGCCCACGAGGCTTCTTGAATATTGTTCCTATTTTCTTGGCTCATATAAATACCACCTAGGTTTAAATACCACCTCCCCAAACTACAGACCTTGTAACGAGATTTCCAACTGAAATAGTCCACACCAGAGAGGGATCTCACTGCCTCCTAGGGCATTCCTCATGAATGCTCGCTCCAGCCAGCCAGGCTATGAGCCCCCAAGGGCAGGGGACTCGCCCTCCTCTAAGTCCCAGCAGCTCCATGGGGCTGCTGAACTGTCAGACATCAGGGTCGGGCGGAGGTGTGAGGGGAGTAAGATGAAAAGCAGGCCTCACCTGTGGCCTTGCCTGCGGTGTTCAGGTCCAAAGCAGGGCCCAGCATAGGGGTCAGTAGCACATCCAGGTTCAATGCTCTCCACTCAGCAATCACAGATTCTTGGTACTCCTGAGGGGGCATCAGCCAACAGAGGAGGCACTCAGACCCAGCCCATCCAGAACTCCGCATTGTAGGCCTGGGCTGGCTCTGGCCTCAGCACCTGCTGCCGGATCTCAGCTGAGCTGAGCCATGAGACCACAGAAGGCCTCTTGGGCAGGCGGGAAGCACTGCTTCTCAGGGGCATCACTGTTCCACCTCCCACCCAAACCGTAGGCACTAGTCTCCCTGCAGAGGTGGAGCTATAGTCTGCATGGTCTCAGGGAGCCTCAGAGGGGCAAAGAAGTACCCAGGACAGGAGCCCCATACTAACCCAGCCCCAAGGATGAGCACTAGAAAAATGAGCATCAGAGAGCAGGGTTCAGTCTGTAGTCCAGGAAAAGGCAAGTGGGGATGACAGGGCACTCCAGCAGATCAGCAGCAACACTGGGCTGAAGATCCTGTTGGCAGGTGCCCTGGACAGCTCCCCTCCCCTTAACTACCCTACTCCAGGGCAGGGGCTCTCAGGCCTCACCTCAATCTTGTGCTGCAGTTCCCAGAGTTCTCTAGCTGACCTGGGGAGAGGGAGTAACATCGCTGGTCATCATGGCCAAAGCCAAGGAGGTCAGAAATACCAGACACCCTACTTCCACTGCTTCTATATTTCACTCCTCCATAGCCCTCAACTCTACCGATCTCTGAGAGGGCAGAAGTTCAAAGCAAGACAGTTCAAAGACCAGATGAGACAGACCAGGCTTCAGAGGAACCTAAGCTGAGTCACTTAGTGACTCCACAGCAGTGACTCCCGCACCAAACCAGGCCTGAATCCTCACTATCCTCAGGACCAAGAAGAGGCCAGGGCTGTCAAAGGTTCTGAACATCTGGAGGTGAAAAGGGGAGCAAGTACATAGGATGGCTGGGTGAAAATGAGGTGCCTTATGTCCTTTACTTCCAGCCTGACCTACTAAAGGGCCAGTAAGACCAGTGCAATTCAGTTCAGTTCAGAACTCTAAAAGGATTTCATCTGTCACCCAGGGCCCAGCATCTCCAGGTGCCACTGAGCCTGGGAAAACTCCTTCCTAGTGCTTCCTCCCACGCCCAGCCAGTCTGACTTTCTCCCCTCCACCTCTCCCCTCTTGTTTGTTCCCTTGCTCTACAGCCAGACCTGGGCCCCAGTAAGACAGTTTCAAGATCCCACCTGAGGGCCCCCCATCTGGGCCATTTCCACCTCAGAAGTCATCTCCCCCAGGGGCTTCTCCTGTCAGAAACCATCTGGCCTCAGAACAGGTAGAGCAAAGAGGGAGGGCATCTGGGCACAGGAAGAATCCTCACCGAGGCTTCATGTTGCTGAGAAAAGCTGCCACCCGTGGGAACTGCACCAAAACAGACACAAGGTCAGTGACTTAGTCTGGGGCCACGAGCTGGCCACCCTTTGGGAAAGCAGGTTGTCAAAGATGCAGGGGTTGGGGAGAACAGTTGGGGAGAGGGTTGGAGACAAGAGGCGCTTAGGCCTGTCCAAATGGAGATGCCAAAGGGAGGCCATGGGTTATCAGAGGATGGGGGTCCCAGAAGCTCCCCTAACCCCTTGCACTCCTTGGGTTCTTACCAGAGGCTTCAACAGGAAGGCTAGCAGTTTTTTAAGCCAGTTGGGCAGCTTCAGAATTAAGATCAGGTCTCTCAGGCAGGGGTCCACAAAATCACCTTTGCTGGGAAACAAAAGGCTCAGTCTAGGAGCTCCCATCCTGGTTCCCTCCTGACTCACTCTCCACCAGCTGCAAACCCTCTTCTCTATGAGTGGCCCTGTCCACCCCTCCTCACCAGATTCCAGTAACTGCTGGCCTCCAACCCTTCTTCTTCCTCTTTCCAACACATGCTTTGTTTCTGCCAATTCTTCTGGACACCTGGGCTTTATCCACACCCACTGGAGTCCCCAAGGCAGGACTCAGGGTCCCCATCTCCAGCAGATCTAGCTCAGAGCTATAGGGACTGAGGGCAACATCTCCCTGTCCCAACTGAGGGCCTGTGCTTATCAAGACCACTGCCAGCCTGCAGGCTCACATGGGGCATTCCAGATTGGCTACCCATGAATTCTCTCTCTCTCTGACCCAGCTCAAGATCTCAGAGAAAGGTCTCAGGTGGCTGATCCTGGGGCTCCACCTCAAGGCCAGAGTAAGAGGTAACATTTTCTACTGAAGCCTGGGCCATGCTCAGCTGCTGGGAGAGGGAAGGACGAGCTGAATCCTTGACTGAGAAAGACTGCAGGGTCCAAGTGTCCCCATAATGAGGTCTACAGCCTGAGAGGCACCAGTCCAGCCAGCCCATCACCTTCACAGGTCCATCCTCTACCCCTGTTATGACTGAAAACAGCCAAGGAGAACCATCTTCTCTAAACATCAGTTCAGTCAAATCCCTTAAAGTGAATCTGGTACAACTCACATGTTATACAGAAATAAAAAGTGAGGTCCTACTGAAAAGGAAAGACTTGGCTCAGACAAGACAGAGCTTGGAGTTACAGCCTGATGTCTATACTCCAATCCACCTGCCTTGATGCTGTCCTTGTTTCTGACCTTTCCTAGACAGCAGGGAACTCCCCTTAACTCCTCCTATACCACAACAAACTCAGTGGAGAAGGGGGTATGCACAGTCAGCCTCCCTTGGGCTGACACCTCTCCCTAGCATGATATCTCCAGGCTCAACTTGTACAATAGGAAGGACAGCAAGGTCCCTGCCCAGAAATCACAATCCTTCTTTGAATGTGGTTGAGCCTATCCTGGAGGATCACAAGGCCTAACTGCTCTCCCTGGGTCTATTCATTTTCTTTTTTTTTGGTACCAGAGATGATCAAACTTGGGACCTTGCACTTGCAAAGCAGGCAGCAGCACCACTGAGCTAAATCCCCAGCCCTCATTTTCCTGACCCCACCACACAGCCCAAAGCTCAAGAGCACTCACAAGTTCTGGAGGAAGCTGTGGCCACCATCACTGAACAGCCCACCTGCACACAGGGTCTCCAGAACATAGGGTATGTTGCTTGGCAAGAAGGGAACAAGCTGCAGGAATGGAGGGGTATAAGGTCCTAGCCTTAACATGCCTTGCTCCCGTGGCCCATATGTCACCTAGCAGCCTAAGGAGGACCTGGACCACCTTGCCCATGTGGTTGTTCTCACAAGAACCACAGAGGCAGGCTTTCCAACCATGAAAACACCCTGCAAAATGGGCCTTGTCAAAGAAGTCTGGAGAAACATATAAGGTTTTCTCAGATGAGCAGACTAAACCACTCGCCACTATCTCAGGTCCCCAGGAACCTCTGCATAGCTGGTCACTGTTGTTCATGATTGATGAGGCCCCTCAAAATGCAGCACTCAGCATGTGCTAAGTTCTCCATCCCCCACAGCCCCAGCCTCCTGGGGAGTCCTCTATATACTGGTCCCACAGGGCCACGGTTCTAACTAGTGATAAAATAATCGGAGCCACAAAGCCCAGGAGGGTGTACCACAGGTACCAGGAAGGCTTCCCTGAAGGGGAGGAGATGCCAGGACTGTGGGATCCTGCAGCCATACCGTGTGGCCAGCAGCTTCAAGGCTCTGCTTGGTCTCCAGCAGGGCCCGCTTCATGGCTGGGCTGGGCCTGGTATAGTTGTCAGTTTCATAGTATCCTACACGCAGGGGCTGAGAACTTGTATAGATCTGGGGACAAACACAGGCGGCAGGGTCAGGGCAAGGAGAGGAAGGCCTAGGCAGAGCTCCTAAAGACTACAGAAGCTACTCAGCTGCAACCTGGATCTTTTTGGTCCCATTTTTCCTCAGAAGAGATCATCTGCCACGCCAGACCCTTCCACATTTACCCCATCATATAACACATTCGTAGTATCTCGGAGGTGCAGAGCAGAGATGAAGATTCCCACTAGTCATACGAGGAAACTGAGGCTTAAGGTCCAGAGAGCGGGGCTGAGACTTGCCCAAGGTTACCCAGCAGACAGTAGCAGGGGCAGACCTGGACCTGGGCATCCTGACTCCTGGGCCAAGCCTCTCTATCGCCTCTCCTGGTTCCCAGACCTCCAGACAGGGCTCCTCTCCTCTCCTCCCTCTTAAGAAGGGTTCAGGCTGCAATGGTCTGAACCTGTCTGCTGAGGAGTGAGAGCCTCCCCAGCCCAGATCTGCCCACCTGCCCTGCCCCCAGGAAACACCAAGGCCCGCCTGCCCACAGCCCCTCAGCCTGGCTAGGGTGAGGACAAGGGGCCCATACAGGAGAGAGGAACATCAGACTATTGAGAAACTGAGCTCACATCACGTAAGTGCAAATATCCATATGTATTCTTCAACAGTCTTCATCAACTCTTCCATACAAAGCACCAAATAATATTTACACCCCAGGACTCTGATCCTGTCACCTCAATACCCTCAGCAAGCTGTGTCCCCAGTCCTTAACTATTAGATCACAACCTTATCCAGTCTCATCCAATCCCCATGTAGAAGGATTCACTCTGCACTGTCCCTGCCCTCTGAGGCACTCCAGAAGCTCTGAGGAGGTAGAAGCCACTTCAGAAAGTAGTAAGCTCAGCTCTGATCAGTGGCTGTCCTGGCGATATTTTGAGGAGCCAGCACAGCTCCCTACAGTTCAGTACATGTGAAGCATCCCACCAGTGAGGATACAGACAGGAATACCACATGCAAAACTGCTATTTACTAAGGGTCAAATACAGACCAGATACAAGAGTTCTCCAGCTGCAAGGCCCGCGAATGTCCCCATTTGTCCAAGGGTGTCACCTAGTGGCCACCTGAGAAGCAGCAACTGACCTTGGCCTCAGATCTTGGGGTCGCTTTGGGGGGGCACGCCTCTGAGGCCTGGTCACAGCACCTGGGTTCAGGAGTTCACCATTTGCCCACCCCTACCCCACTCACCTCCTCTCTGAAGGGCAGGGGTGGCACGGTGGGGTCCAGGCGAAACATGTCCTCACACAGAAGAGCTCGCAGACACAGTGCCAGGCTCTCCACATCCCGAGCAATGGGGCCCACGGAGAACTGCACTGTTGAGCAGGGACAGGAGGAAAAAGGGGTCACGTGACCCCGATGGGCTCTGGGTCTGGGTTGGAGTAAGGGCTGGGCCATGGCCCAGGAGTAGAAAGAGCAAGGTCGGAACTCAAACCTAGGAGAGGCAGGGGCAGAGGCAGATCAGGAGTTCCCCCACCCTCATCCAGGGCACTGAGAGAACCACAGACCTCACCTGCCATCTGTCCATGGACACAGCTCTTCACGCCTCTCTTGCTGGATAAGAAACACAAGGTAAAAAAAAAAAAAAAAAAAAGAAAAAAAAAAAAAAAAAAAGAAAAGAAACGAAACACAAGGTGTGGTAAACAGGAAATAGCTACCTTCTGCCCACCCCAAAGCCGCTGTAGAAGTGCTGTACTCCCCCAAGTGCTGTACTCCCAACCACTGGAAACTGGGAGCCCTGCTAGTGGTAACACTCCGCCCAGTAAAACTCTGGTGAGTGAATCCCTGCCTGGAGCCCAGAAAGGTTGGAAGCTGGGCCAAGGTCATACAATAAGGGGCCCAGAAGCTCCTGTACCCACCATACCTGAGGCGGTTCCCAGTAGGCTTGAGGCCACAGATGCCACAGAAGGCAGAAGGGAAACGGATGCTGCCTCCAATGTCGGTGCCCAAGCCCAGCGGGGAGCCTCCAGACCCAATGAGGGCCCCTTCACCCCCTGAGGAGCCGCCTGGGCTCTTAGAGGGCTTCCATGGGTTCATGGTCTGGCCGAAGAGGGGGTTACTGCAGTCATAGCTGGAGGAAGCAGGGGCGGGTCAGCCAGGGTCACGCTGGCACCTCTGTCCCAACCACCCCACCCCACCCCACCTTGCTGAGGCTCAACCTGAACATGGACTGGGGGATGTTGGTGTGCACGAAGGGCACGGCGCCCTGCAACTTCAGCACCTGCACTACCACACTGTCGCACTCCGCTGGCACCCCCTCATTCAGGCTCAAGCCCAGCGTCGAGTTCTGGCCCTAAGAGGAGGATGAGCGACAGGAAAACTCAGCAGATAAGTCAGGAGAGGTCCACTCCCACCGCTGTCACACTGGCCATGGCCAGGCACACCCACGATCCTCTCTCAAGACTTCCGGACATCACACTTCCTCTGCAGGACCTAAGTGACCCAGGACACAGAGCTGGCTGCAGGAATGGAGGGGAGAGGAACCTGACACCAGGGAAGGGTGTACCTTGTAACTGAAGCACTCCTTGAGGCTCACGGGGACACCATAGAGCAGGCCTCGTGGTGGGGCCTGGCACAGCTGGGTCTCACAATCAGCCAGGAAGGAGGTTATACAGTTGGTCCCTTTGTTCACTTCCCAGGCCTGGTAAGAAGGAAATGGACACAAGACAGAACGAAGCTGGACTTTTTTCTTTTTTATGATACAGAAAGTCCCCGACTCACGAGCATTCAGGTTGCGAACTGTCACATATATGAACAGACCTCACATTACAAACATTTGTAGATGCTAATAAATGGCAGGAGTAGCTCATGTCTGCCGGATACTGTCACAGTTGTGCTGCTGTGTGCTGACTGTACAGTGAGACAGTGTACAGTAGTACAGCAATCAGAGCTCAGGATGTCCGGAAGCAAGAGGAAAAGCAGTGGTGATGTAGAGGGGACCGCTAGGAAGTGCAAAGCAATATACGTTGTATATTTATATCAAAATTGTATGACTCACTTTGTTCGACTTACAAATGAATCCAACACAAATATTCTCCTGGAATGGAATTCATTTGTAAGTCAGGGACTTATTATAGTAAAATGTATAAAGTTAGCTGTTTAAGGTATACTGAAGGAGTGAAGTACTTCAAGCCCTAAAGGAAAACAACCTCCTTTGCAGACTGATGTACCCTGTAAAACTATCCTTCAAAATTGTTGGAGAAGGCTGGGAATTTAGCTCAGTGGTTCTGACGCTTGCCTTGCAAGCACAAGGTCCCAAATTCAATCCCTGGTTTAAAAAAAAAAAAAAAAAAAAAAAA